AGAGAGAGAGAGAGAGGGAGACACAGAATCCAAAGCAGACTCCAGGCTCTGAGCAGTCAGCATAGAGCCTGACGTGGGGCTCGAACCCACAAACTGCGAGATCATGACCTGAGCCGGAGTTGGACGCTTAACCAACTGAGCCACCCAGGCACCCTAGGACATAATTTTTTTTAAAGCTGGATTCTAGAAATGCTGAAGGAAGTGAATATCACAGCAGAAGCAGCAGACTTTCTGACCCTGTGCGGAAGATGGCATGATGGACCCCCAAAATTAAGTCTTGGCACATACGACTCATTCTGGGGCCGCAACCCCACCCTACCCTTTGCTGCTGGACAACCTTAGTTTGAGGCCCACCTCTGCCAGTTGACTGATTTGGGGCATGCTGCTTAATCGACCTAAGCCTCTGTTCCCTCATCTGCAAAATAGATCTAGTAGCAGAATCTGCCTCAGTGGAGGATTCTAGAAGAGAATGAATGAATGCTTGGCATTTTGTTGGCAGATGAGTGCTTGATGAATGGTCCCTGTTATTATTTATCATAAAAGAAGGCCATGGATGTGATAAAATTCTCTTTTTTATTTTATTTTATTTTTTGAGAGAGAGAGAGAGAGAGCAGGGGAGGGGCAGAGAGAGAGGGAGAGCAAGAATCCTAAGCAGGCTCCACACTGTCAGCGCAGAGCCCGATGTGGGCTCTAACTCATGAACCATGAGATCATGACCTGAGCCGAAATCAAGAGTTGGATGCTTAACTGAATGAGCCACCTAGGAGCCCCGATAAAATTCTCTTTATGAGCAAGGATGAAAGCTAGATTCTCAAGTCTGAGGTTCAGGCGACATCAGAGTCTTAGTAATGTTGCTCTTGGCCCTTTTGAGGAACTTAAAAGCCCTTTGCAGTTTTATTTTGCTCTAGTCATTTCCAGGCTTCTACTGCTTTCTTTGCACCTCATTTGTCTGGTTGTTGAAGCAAGAGGACTCAATTAGATGGTCCTCATGTCCTTGCCAGCTCTCGAAAAGTCTGGGATGGCAAAGAAGGCAGGAATAGTGATACCTACACCCTATCTCTCTTGGCATTTCTGTGATGATCAAATGGATTGATGGGTATTGAAGTGCTTTGTGAAGATATAGTGTGTTCCATGCAGTTAGCATGGGGTATTATGCCCATTTTAATCTCTGAGAGTGCACGCAGGCTTCCGGGGAGCAGCAAAAGGGCACATACTTCACAGTGACATAAATGGCAAATGTAACTCAAGCTGGCCTAAGCAAAACAGAATTCACTGGCTTACATAATAGGTTTAGAGTGTGACCTTCAGGCACGTCTACATCTAGGTGTTCCAAGAAGATCTTGAGAGGTTGACTCTTATTTTTCCTTTCTGCTTCCCTCTTTGGCTTCCTCTTTCTGCTTCATTCTTGGGCAAAGCTTCTCCCCATGTGGTGGCAAAGATGGTGAGCCAGCAGCTCCGGCTTTATCCTGCCAGCTCAGGTTCTCCTTCCTGACCCGCCAGTCGTTCCATCAAATGTCTCTGGATTGGCTCTGATGGCTTTAGCAGCACCCCATCCCTGGAACTGGTGGCTGGGGTCAGCTGCGGCACAAGCAAGTGATCTGGGAGTGGGGAAGGGGTGATTATCCAGGGTTGCTGGGCGACATTAACATGTCCCAAACGTAAATAGGAGTTCTGCCTTGGAAGGTAGGGTATGGGGAAGGCTGCGCCAACCCTGTCAGTGTGGGATCTCACCCTCTGTCTTCTAGACTCTTGCCCCCTCCCCAGGCCTCGTACCTTGGGAGGCAACTGTTCTAGAAGGGGCCAGCTATTGAGGCACCGGTTGCAGCCACAGATTCTTCTCTAATGCCGTAAATCAGGCTTTGATCTATCAGCCCCATTTATATGCCTTCTGGGAATTCAGATACCTGGTCTCCATTCCTAACTCCTCGCCTTTAAAAACAAAAAAGTCACTTTGCATTTTTAGGACACGGTATACTTTAAAAAAAAAAAAGGCTTTTTATTGAAGTATAATGTACATATAGAAAAGTGCACGTATGATAACCATACATCTTGATTAATTTTGACAAATTGAACGTACTATGGTCACTGGCACTCCAACGTTTATTTATTTTTGGGACAGAGAGAGACAGAGCATGAACGGGGGAGGGGCAGAGAGAGAGGGAGACACAGAATCGGAAACAGGCTCCAGGCTCTGAGCCATCAGCCCAGAGCCCGACGCGGGGCTCGAACTCACGGACCGTGAGATCGTGACCTGGCTGAAGTCGGACGCTTAACCGACTGCGCCACCCAGGCGCCCCCTGGTCACTGGCACTCCAGAATCAACCCCTGTGTCCCTATCCAGTCACTGCCCTCCATTGTCATCCTGACTTCTAGCAGCGTGGATGAATTTCGCCTGTGTTCATCATACTTTATGACAGTGGAATCAGGCAGGCGTCCACTTTTACTTTCAACTTCTTTTGCTCAGCTTGGTGTTTATAAGACTCATCGATACTGTTGTGTATAGTTGTAGGTGGTTTATTTTCATTGCCGTAGTTTTCTGTTGTGTGACTATTTCCCTATGTATGTATTCATCCTATTATTATTATTGTTGTTTATTTTTTGTAAGTAGGCTTCACGCCCAGCACAGAGCCCAATGCGGGGCTTGAACTCATGACTCTGAGTTCATGA